GGGTGTTAGTTAATATTTTATGTTTATTTCATTTAATTAATGTATGATATACTGAGCTAAGATTGTCGGTATCCGATCTGAAATTCATAGCATTGTTGTTTTTTAATCTGTATCATTTCATGGACTCTTCTCTTATTATAATTACTCTCGTTAATCAGTATTTTTGTGTTATCAAAATCAAAATTATACAACTTCTGTTGTGCATGCTGTGCTAATGCTGTACCATTTTCGTTATTTTTTCTTAGGCTATACTTATGTTCGTATATTCTTTTCTTTAGATATTGTCCTGTTTGACCTATGTATGTGTTATAACAATTCAAACAGTCTATTTTGTAAATTACTTTAGGCGTGTCTAACTTGTCAATCCTAGGTTTAAATTTTGTGAAACATTCATTTGCTAACGTGTTTTTAGTTTTTTCTGCTATGTTGATATTATGTGGTTTGAATATGTTTTTTATTTTTGTGTTAATTTCCGGAATATATGGTAATCAATCAATATATGATATATACTTGGTATCACCTTCTCTTCTTTTATTTATGTTTTTCCATTTAGTTGAATTGTATATTTTATTTATCTTTTGCTTTATGATTGGTTCAAAAAATGACATTGGATAGTTGTTTATTAATAATATATTTTTTATTTTTTCAAGATTTTTTGTTCTATACTCCCAATGTGATAATTTAATGGCTCTATCTGCAAGTGCCGTTATTACACTTCTTTTATATTTCATTGGAGAGGACGTTGCACAGCATGCACAACAGAAGTTGCATAATTTTGATTTTGATAACACAAAAATACTGATTAACGAGAGTAATTATAATAAGAGAAGAGTCCATGAAATGATACAGATTAAAAGACATAACAATGCTATGAATTTCTGATCGGATACCGACAATCTTAGCTCGGTATATCATACATTAATTAAATAAAATAAACATGGAATATTAACTAACACCCGGTATATCGAAAAATTTTGCAAACCAAAAATAATATCCTCAGAATGCAAAGAAAAATAGATGAAAGTAAAAGAAATCAATATAAACAGTATTTTATTCGCTTTGTGTCCAAAATGGACAAAATTAATACTCCAAATGTATGCCAAGGCTTAAAGCAG